AGAGAGAGAGAGAGAGAGAGAGAGAGAGAGAGAGGTGAGACCCCTCTCCCTTTTTTTTCTTCTAACAATACTCTTGCTGAAAAAAACCCCATCATAAACGTTAGCTTTTATTTAAAGAATTCAGGGACCCCTTAGTATGGTTCAGTGGGTTACAACTTTTGTCTATCGAGGTTCCATTAGGAAATGGTCCCTAATGATTATTTCTTAAACTGTCCAGAAAAATTTCTCGACGATGGTCCCAAACTAGAGCTTGGAAGAAGCAATACGTCATCATTAAATAATTATAGGAAGGAAGGAAAGAGAAGTGTACAGGCCACTAGGGGCACCCTGAAGGCCTACCCGGTCGAACAATGATCGCGGAGAGCAATGTTTTCGTAAGACGACAAAGCGGTGAAGGGGCGCAAAGACAACGCACCCCGGTCTTTCTTTTGTGACATCGTGTGAAAATCGACACGAGAAAAGATCTCTTTTTCTCACCTGTTCGCCCGTGTGGTTAAACACTGAGTTAGAGGGTATCGATCTGGATTGTCCTACGTGGGAAAAGTTTGCAGTTTTCCCGTGCAGTCGGTGTGGGATAAGGTTTTAAAGAGAATCCTGATCGTGTCATAAAGATTCTTAACGAAACAGGTTTTCATTAGCAGTTATTCAGATAATTGCGAATTACTGGAAAACTGACAGATGAGAAAAGAAACGGAAAGAAGAATCACCTCAAGGTGAGAAATATATCTAGAGTGGGAATTTCGAAACAAGGACTGCCTATCAGTCTGTCTTGCTGTCTGTTCGTTTCCCTACCCCATCCCGTCTCTCTCTCTTTCTCTCTCTCTCTCTCTCTCTCTCTCTCTCTCTCTCTCTCTCTCTCTCTCTCCCCTGAAACTTTTACTCTTCAGCAAGATTTCCTGTTTGCCATATGATTTTTAAAAATATGGACTTTACTATTTCACTGTTTAACAATTATGATAATAATTATAACAACAATACTAGTAATGAATATTATTTCGTTTGTGATTTGGAAATGCGATACCAGAGTTTTAAAACATTCTTTCCATGCCCTATGCCTGCCTAGCAGTCGTAATGATGGAGTGATTCTCAGTAAGGACTAAATGAAATACAATCATGTATCTCGACACATCTCACCAGGTCTGTGGTGCACTTTTTACGTTCTTTAATCCTTGTGTCGGTACAACATCCCTTACAGAGTGAGCGTTGCATCTCTATCGAGTCTGTATAGTTATCAAAAAGCTGCACCTTAATTCAATGCGCCTCTCTGGCAAGAACAAGCCAAATACGTGATTGACCAGAACCTTGAAAATCCACCCATCAAATAAGCTAAGTCAAGAATACTCATTTTGGGTTTCGAATAATAAATGCTATGAGTACTGTACAGTTGTCCAGCATGATATCGACTGATCCATCAATTCACCTGAAGAGGTATTGTATCAAGTATCTGCTCGGAGGTATCCAATTCTTTCCGGATTGACCCTGGACGGCTGGGTCAAAGCCGCCCCCCCCCCCACTCCTTACTTGTGTGAGTTGAGACTATTAAAAATTAGGTGCAAGAAATAAACTAAAAACAATGTAGCAGACATGTACTGTTTTTTTTAAATCTCAAAATAATAGTAAAGTATAGAAAAGAAATGAAATATACACATTTCACAAGCACGTGCCCTTGTAAATGTTGATGTCGTCAATAGCAACATCCCCTTGTGCTATGTGAGCCTCAAAAGTGAGGCTGAACTTCCTGCCTGGAGAGACCCGCACGTCTGTCCAAACATGCCACCATTTGTTGTGGTAATAGTTCCTCATCTCACGGACAGCAAGAACACCAGGCAAGCTTGGCTCACGAGCTACGAGCTTAAGGAAGCTGGAAGGTCCATTTTGGAACACGTAGAAGTCTACACAAAAACTACTACCACTTAGGTGTGATGCAATAATGAGTCGCGCGACTTTGCCAATGTGTCCGGCTGATGCAGCAATTAAGTAGTTGTCTAGCCCATTCGTATTTCCCGCTCCTGGTCCTGATTGACTAGTCCCGTTCTGAATTATCCAATCAAAATCATCTGAGTCGTCGTTTCGAAACACACAAAAATCGTCCTGGAAAGCACAGGTAGTATAACCCTTCTGGAGATCATTCGCAATTTGGTTGACATTTTCAACGCAGCCGTAAAGTCTTTGTATTTTCTTCACATCTAGTTCAGTCAACCCTAACCTCTGTCCAAATTTATCCCTAGTCTTTTTCTCCTTCTTTGGCGTAATTGTCGGTTCTGTCGTGTTAATGGCGAATTCATACGGTGAATAATGCATGATGGAGCCGTAATCATAAGGCAAATTCAAGGTCAATACTGAATGATTTTGTACTTCGAAATTGTAGCGATTTGAGATGAGCACGTTATTTAGATGGATATCGATGTACTGATCTCTGTCTGGGCGCGTGTGCTCGTGCCAGAAACCTACGGCATGAAGAAGTTCATGCATGATGACACCTTTGTGTTCGCAACCTTGACCTACGATGACCTCTTGGCGACCTCGACGCATATTCCCAACAAACGAAGAACAGGTATCCCCCGGGGCCACTTCTATATAGTTCATCTCAGTCTCGTGGGGCTTGAACTGGATACACTTCGGGCCTCCTGGGCTGTTCACGGCGTTTGCTGAAAAAAATAATTAATTCTAAAATCCTTTCCTTCTCATCGACGCAATACACGAGTACATTTTTAAAGAAGGGAACTGTTTCAACCGTTGCCTCTAGAACTGTGGGAGAAACACTCCAGTTGGAAAATGGCGATGCTTGATAAATGTCGTCAATGCTTTGGAATCAAACTCACTTACTTTTGCATAACATTAGACCGACAAGCAGACAACAAAACTTCGATTCTTATGACAGCATAGAGTCATGATATGAGGTCCTAAAGATACTACAAATGTTCAAGGAAAGTCGGAGCCAAGAAAGTTATCGTGAAATGTGAAACTTAAGTCAAACAGGGTAATTGAACATACACTATTTTAGTAAATAAGGTCAAATAGAAGGGCAAAAGAATGAATTGGGAAAACATTTAGGAAGAAAAGAGCATTACTTGAGCTCAGTGGCTGTCTGCCGGCCCCTTTAACCATCTGATTGATTAGCTGATTTCCTGTGTGTGCCAGCCTGCCTCATCGACTGGCCTACTGATTCGTTAAGTATAATCACTGGCCGACTGTTAGTCCTAGTGCCTTAATGAACGAATACATGTACTGACCTATCTCGTCCATGGCCAGTTTAATCAGAGAGGCGACATGTCGAGGGTATGTCTCGTCAATGACGTAAGGGATGACGCCAGATGGCCAGAGACGCTCCTTGACCTGCATGTCGGGACGCTGAGGAGAAGACGAGGGGTCGTCTAGGAAGTCGTGTGTCGGAGTACTGGAGGTTAGGTGCACTGTACGGAGGAAAGCCGGAGTGTTGTTCTTTAAGCTCATCTTCAAAGAAAAATATCAATTTGAATTGAAGCAAAGAAAACAACATTCAACAAAATCTAAATTACATTGAGGATTTGTTTGTTTGTTTTTGTCTCATTCTGCGTAATCCCACAGTTCAGATGTATTTTTTCTGTAAAAAGTAGAGATTTGTGATAGAAACCAATCTTTTGGGATCTCAGTAAAAAGAGGTACTTAAAGGAAGGGTGTGGGGCAGAGAGCCAGGGGAAGACAAATAGTAACTTGGATGTACAACATAAAAACATGGACTGGCCTGGATATTACAGAATGTGCAAAGGCAGCTCGTGACCGTGGAATATGGAGGGTCATTACACTTCAACCCCTGAGTCAGAGATGACACCTCCAGATATTCAGGTATAAAAAAGAGGGGCCCCAGGTATTCAGGTATGAAAAGGAGGGACACCCCCCCCCTCCAGTCCCCATTGAAAACAGCCGTGTACTGACCAATACTTAGTTCCAAACAGTGTCCCGTCATACGCAATCAATGCAGTGTCATCAAGGTTCGAGTCTGCTGGTGTATGGGGCTACATAAAATGACTAGATGAATGCCGCACACACACAGCATACAATTTGACATTGATTCAAATAGACTCTGACTTAAAAGCGTTATCAAGGTGGTACATGATGATGGTGATGATGATGATGATGATGATGATGATGATGATGATGATGATGATGATGATGATATTTATTCTGGAAATACAACAAGGTCTTAACTGTTTTAATACCTTCTTTATACAATGATGTGGTGAGACCTTTTTTATTTCGGCATTATAGTTTTTTCGTATCGTTTTTGTGATATAGATCTAGATATAGATCTAGATCTAGATCTAGATCTAGATCTAGATCTAGATTCTAGATCTAGATATATCTAGATCTAGATGTAGATCTAGTGTCCCTCTTTTTTTCGTGCCATAGTTCTTTTTGAGCCTTCTACACTTCGTGTGAAACTTAAAGCCTACTCCCGCTCAACTGAACCCATGGCAAGCCCCAGTACTTCGTATCGCCTTCTCTCCAAATTAGTAAGATACCAAAATAATCTGTGGTTTCTTACTGCGTGCAGTACTTCTAATGTCTGCCCTAAAGGACTCCGTATCAAACTTCAAAGCCCTTTCCCGGACACTTCCTTCCATAACTTTTGGTGTTCGACTCTTCACACCTGTTCCCGCCTTCTGCTGTTCCTACTTATCAACCACTACCACCAAGCCATCCCCAAGCTCCACAACCAGATCGACAACATCCTTGGATCCGCCCCGGTCGACGAAGAAACTGTCAAAACGCTCAATGCTCTCTCTTCCGAACTACACTCCAAACATCTAAAGAAACTCCACAACCTCAGGATACAGAGTCCTTCCACGGACCAACGACGCCATGTGCACTCCAACTCGTCTAGAGACCTGCACCCTCATTTCTCTCAGAACCGCCAGTTTCGTAACCCTGAATCCCTTACTACAGATCATCGTCTATCTTCTGACCGGTGTGACCTTCCGTTACCTGCAAGCCGAGACGCTCCACTTCCACATGCAGACCCTCAAGTCCCGACGCTGCCTGCACCCAGCTGCCAACCGACTCTCCAAACCAGCCCCGTCACACAAGCCCTAACAAAAGACTCAGACTCACGATCGTCCCCTCAGGCTCTTGATCGACCGACTCCACCAGAAGCTGCCCCCTTGGTCTACTCTACGTCGGACAATGATAATGTACATGTATGTCATATTCCATACTTAAGTCCCCATGTTACCTCTACCTCTAGTACCGTTCCTTATGAACCCCACACTGTACTTACTGTCCCCCCTCTTTCCCATACTCCTCTTGAATCTAGCTTGACCTCTACGAACCCTGATGGCCTTACACTTGCTAATTCGTATGTACTAACGGACAGCGCCTGCCCCCCTTTACCTCCTCCACATACTATATATACGGATGAGTCAACTTGTACTTTTCTACCTTGCCTTTGCGCTCGTTTCGAGAAGACATAAAGTTCCTACCTGTGTGGAATTTAAAGTTTTACAAATTCCTTTCCTAATGTAGATGATATAAAAATATGCCACTACTACTTAAACATCTGCTACTACTACTACTACTACTACTACTACTACTACTACTACTGCTACTAC